GTGGCGGTTGCCGGCGGGCCGTTGCTGGCGCATGCCGCGCGGGGGCGCTGCGGCGGGGGCGGCGCGGGGCGGGCGCGCGCGGGAGCCGCTCTGGCCCGCGCTCGGTGCCCGCCGTGCCCGCGGAGGGAGGGTCCTCGCCCGGAGAGCGGCCAATCCGGGCGGGCGCTGGCGGCGAGCAGGGGCAGAATGGGCTGTAGTTGAGTGAAATAGGGAAAGCGGCGAACAGTGTGGAGCGTTCCCGGTGTAAATAAAAGGGGGAGGAAAAAAAAAAGTTTGTGGAAGTCGCCGCCCTGCAGCCTCGCTCGGGCAGCGGCGCGGGGGCTTGTGCGGTGCGGGAGCCCGGCACGGAGGACTTTAGTGTGTGGCGTTAACACGCTCTGCCTATTGTTTGTGTTTTTTTCCAAAATATGGCAAAGGTTCAGGTGAACAATGTAGTGGTGTTGGATAATCCTTCTCCTTTCTACAATCCTTTCCAGTTCGAAATCACATTCGAGTGCATAGAGGACCTGTCTGAAGGTGAGTAGATTTTTTCTCCCCGATACGGATTTTGCAACCCCGGGCTCTGAGCTCGGGGCTTTTAAGGCTTAAACTTTGCACAGGCCTGCGCCTACAATTTGCCAGTCTTTCCTCCTTGGCCGCATCGCCGTGCCGAGCCGAGGGGATGTGCCGGCCGGGCGAGGGGATGTGCCGCTCCCGCCGAGCCCGGCGCCGGGGAAAGTTGGCGGCGTCCGCCCGCCCTGGGCGCCGAGCCGGGCCCGCCGCCTCTCCCCGCCATCGGCGAGGCGGCGAGCTGCCGCAAGTTGCGAGGAACTTGTTAGAGTGGAGGTAGCCATGTTGCCAGCTTTGTGTGTGCGTGGGGGGAGCGAGCGGGAGGGAGGAGGGTTGAACCGGGCTCGGCGGCCGCGCATCCCCGCGGGCACACGGGATGCTGGCGTGCAGCCCTGGCCGTACTCGGAGCGCGGAAAACGCTCCGCGGGGATGCGTCTCTTTGGCCTCGTGCTCCATTTTAATACAAAAAAAAAAAATTAAATAAATCGCGATAGGAGGCAGGGGCGGGCGGGTTGGCCCCAGGTGCCAGCAGCGGGCAGCCGTGGTGGGTGCGCGGGGCCGGGGGCACAGCTCGGCTCGGAGCGGAGCGCTGGCTGCGGGAGCCCCACTGGGGTGGGGGAGGAGGGGGCCGCCCGCCTGCCACTATTTTTGGAAGTCACTCGAAAGTTATTGGCAGCCGCCAACCCGGGGCGGGGGGCGGCCCCGGCCCCGCGGGGACCCTCGTCCCGAGCCGGGGGCGCCGCCACGCTCTCGCCGCACTCCCGCCTTCTCCCCCCGGCCGGGCGGGCCGCGGGCCGCCCTCGCCCCGGCCGCGCTCCGCAGCGCCGCCCCCCGGCCGGCCGCGGGACGCGCCCCGAGAGGCCGCGCGTCGCCCCGCGGGCGGGAGTTTCGAACGGCTCGGGGCGAGGGAGGGAGTGCAGGGCGCTCCTGCCTGCCCGCGGGGCGAGCCAGCGGCGGCCGATATCCCGGGAGGAGGAGGAGGCCGAGGCCGCTCGGCTGGGGCTGCCTGTGAGCGGGAGAGGACAGCTGCCTGCCTGGCACTCGGCGGAGCCCAGCGCCGCCTGCTCGCCAGGGAGCCCCGCGGGCGAAGGAGCGAGGGCAGGGCCGAGGAGAAGGGGGGGAGCTGGGTGCTAAGCCTGGGTGCTCTCGCTGGCAGGCTCGCTGTCGCTGCGGTTCAGCTCGCTCACCCCGCCTGTCTCTGCAGCAGCGCGTACTCCTGCGTGCCGGCATAGGGCTGTGACAGCGCGGGCAGGGAGGGAAGGACGGCCGCGGTGGCGGGAACTTAGAGGAAGTCTCTCCTGAGCTAGGGATTTCCTCTAGGCCTCCGCCGCCGATCCCGTGCCCTTCTGTAGCGAACCGACCCGTTAGTTGGAGCTGTGCTCCATGCCCGTCTCCAGGTCGCTGGCTGGGTCTTTCCAGTCAGCCTGGCCTCATCTGAGGTACAGCCCTGGACCCCTCGGTGGCAATTGCTATGGCGGGTGGCAGTGCCCAACACAGGGGCTCGGTGCAAGGTGTTATGCTTTTCCTTCCAGTTGTGCACAGCTGTTTGTGACATGCTCCTCACACTCTGGATTTATGTTAAAGTTAATCCCAGATAGTCGGGATGAGAAGAATTATAGATAGTCCAATGCAAAATTCTCAGCTCCCTTCCCCAGTCTAAATGCAAGTTAGACTACAGGATAAATTTGGGATGAACAGTGCTATCTTGCACATTTAAAAATAAGATTAAACACAGCCTTTGTATACTTGATGAAAAGTCATTGCCTTAGCTTTCCTGTGTTGCTAGTACCTCTGTTTACTGTGCTGTTTTCTCTTCAGCCAGTCCTCTCCAACACTGATCTTAAAATTTAATTCACAAACTCCAGATCTTTCTTTCTTAAAGTTGTTGTTCTGTATCAAGATACTTAAACAACATTAGGTTCACTATTAAATTTATAATTTAAAACTTTTTTAAAGTCCAGTTTTAGTACTAAATACTGCTGGTTTAGAAAGAGCTTTATACTGTTCTCCTAGAATAATGGTGCAGGGTGGTGTGATAATCTTAAGCAGTTTAGCCTAAAGTCCTCAATTCTTGTAAGTAGTAACTCCTCCTCAGATGCAGACAAGAAAGCTCCTTAATTGTCCTGGATGAGTACCCTCCAGTACTGCCAACAGCTAATACTACATGCTTAAAAGGTAAATAAAACCTCTGATACAGTACCTGGCTAATTTTGCTGTGCTGTACAGAGTAGTAAAATCACTTCCCAAGCCCTGTTTGTTAAACTCGGAAAACCTGCATTGATGATAAACATGATAAGCAAGAAAAATTAACTAATGAGGAGAAAGAGTTGCAATCTTAAAGCATCCAAGTTTTGTTAAAGTGCCAAGTTTTTCCTGTGCTTAAGTACCATTTCTGCATCAAGAAACCGTGATGTGGACCTTTGGATTTTGCAGTGTAGTAATCAAGTAAATGTAATAGGGTACAGGTTTGTCCTTTTGCGTAGGCCATCAGGGCATTATTCACAAGGGGGGGAAAAAAAGAAATATACTATGTAAATTTTCAAGGTACAGTCTGAAGCAACAGTTTCATTAAGAAAAAAGTGTTAGTCATAGTTTTCTGTAATGTTTATGTCTTTTTCCTCTTGTTTAAAAACCCAAAAATCTGTCTCATCTTAAGATTAGTTGCATATGTGTATTTACACATGTGTTTTTGAATCAAAAAGGGAAGGTGAAAAGCTGGCCCAGGAAGAGCTAATGTGCAATTTCAAACACCTGTCAGGGAAAGAGTGAATTAGGAAAAACTGAATTATAAGATATGTTTGGGTTTGGTGCATCATTTTAAAAAGCAAAATTGAATTTTTTTTTCTGCCTATAGTTCCATTTCAGGATGTAGATAAAATGCAAGCACTAATATCTTCAAGAATATGATCTAGTCATGTTACCACAATTTTACATACTTCATGGGTTACACAAGTGACTTGTGAGGGAAAGGGGACATACAGTTAGCGTGCCTGGTGCTTATACAGTGGGTTTTCTTACTCAATTAACTACCATCCATAATCTCTGTAATTTAAGGTGTGAGGTGTATATGTGGAAGCCAGGAATTCGGTTTTGGGAGGTGAGTCAATATTCAAGGCATGCAGTGCATTATAGGTGTATATAGGCATCATCCTCTGCTGTAGCCATTCAGACAGACTTTGAGAAGGTGCTGAACAAGCTCCCAATTAGTAAATGGACCCTGTTCTCTATATAAAATTTGAAAATTAACCTCACCATGAAACTGAGGGATTGCTGTGATACCAGCTGACTAGAGGGACAATGTGGGATAAGATTTGTGAGGATAGGGTCAAGCATCAGTAAATCTCCCCCATGAAAACAGGTTCTTCTTATTTTAGGCCTGTTTATAAAGAAGCAATTTTAGGCCTCAAAACTGTAGATAGGCAACAGTTGAAGACCCTCAACTGTAATGATAAATAATGTTTTTTTATTATTATTTTGTTTTGCTGTAGATTTGGAATGGAAAATAATTTACGTGGGTTCAGCTGAAAGTGAAGAGTATGATCAGGTGTTAGACTCTGTTTTAGTTGGACCTGTTCCTGCAGGCAGACACATGTTTGTATTTCAGGTAAGTTTGATTTAATGGTTTCTAAAAGGGTTGTGCTAATTTGTTTAGAGAGGACTGTTTCAAACTAAGAGGCAGTTGAAAAATAATGGTAAGCTAGAAAAAATATTTGTCAGCTCCTCAGGTATGATACACCTGCCTTTAAAGTCTGCTCATAAGCTGATATTTCTTGCCCCTGATATTTCTTGGCATTTTTCATTGGTGGTATCAATAATTAGAGATAGTGACATAAGCACAGTTCCCACAGCTACTGATAATTTTAGCCAGTCTGGTTTGTAAATACATTCTAGATCACTCAGTAATCAACAGTGCCAATTACCTGGTTTACACCAGCACCATCAGGCTCAATGCAGTTGGTGGCAGTTTCAGACAGTCAGGAGCACTAGGTTAACGTAGCCAACACCTTCAGAAGATCAGTGTAAAAGTCAGCCAGAACAATCAAGAAGTTCACTTCTATTTGGCAGGACACATGTTCAATCATGATGTTTGGCTAAGCATGCTAAATCATAACAAAATACAGTGATTTCTAAAATAAAGACAGAAATCCAGTGCTAGATAGTAGGCATTTAGGAAAAACATGTGTGGATCAAGACTGTCCAACAAAGTCTAGAGAATGTGACAGTACTATAATATACTGCTGTTAAAGCCAAAAGTTAATGAAGGGAAAGAAAACAGGGGAAGAGAAGCACTGAGATGGCTTACTAGCCTGCTCTGGTTTCCATTTTAAGTCAGGGAGGGGAAAAAACCTGAAGTGAACTTGCCCCAATTCTTACAGAAGCTTTTGTTTATTTGTTTGAGGTAGTTTCTTTTGTGGTGGTAATTGCTTGGTTTTGTTTTGGTTTTGTTTTTTTTTTGGTGGTGTTGGTTTTTTAGGTTTTTTTAATCAAACCTATAATTTTAAATAAAAGTAACACTCTTTTCCCTATGAAATACAAGAATTTTTCTTGTAAACTGATAGCAGAATCCATCAGATGAAAAATCAGATAGAAACTGAGTATAAGGACCCTGCTACTTTCCTAAATAGTGCAAATTCAATTAACTGTTTAATGGCAGATGCATGCTGGAGGATGAGCATTAAAAAACCCCAAAGTGCTAATGAATACATTTCTCACTATTACTGTAACTGTTTTAAAATGCTGTCAACATTTGTGAGGCATCTGTGAGTTCCAGGGAAATTTTGTTTGGTTTTTGTGGTTTGGGGTTTTTTTTTGATGTATGTTTTTGTTTTTTTTTTTTCCTGTAAAGGACAGGCTAAAGGAATAGGATTAGGCTGGAGGTTGCATTTATCAACCACATATGTGCAAATCAGTCTTGAAACATTTCTGTTTGGTTTCGGAGCCAGGACTAATTTTTTCCACACTACAAATAAAGTAGATGTGTAACAAATGCATCATTTATTAACAGTTCTTCAATTATCATGTTATTATAGCTTATGGCATTAATTGGTCAGAAATAGGTGATCCTATATTGCCCTCAAAGGGACTACTTTGTGGTAGTGTATGCAGAGGAATCAGCTGGCATTTACATTTCTAATTTAAATGATGTTCTCAGTTACAAAGACTCATTGTTGATGGTGATGGGAAGGAGCAGGAAGCAGGTACCTAAAAAGGCATGTTTTGGCTGTATGATTAGGAAGGTCTCCAAAACTAAATTTACTGGTCTTGCAGTTTATGTAGAATGGAGTCGGTAATTATATCCTGGTTATAAATGACATTACAGCTAAATTAGGAGGAGATATGTAGACACCTTGCTTAGATTGTAGCAGGTCCTGTAAGAGATTCCTTCTGTGATATATTAAAGTATCCCTTTTATTTCTTACGGAAGTACTGTTGGTCTGAGTATATTATGCTTCAAAAGCTCTGGATTGCAAGTGAGGGTAGGGCTGAGCTAGTGTGTACACAGGAGACCACCAAAACCCAAAGTGCTGCAAGAAGCCTTTGCTGATGACTGAAACCATTTTATTCACCAAACTGAAGCAGCCTGGAATATGGAGAGAACAAGCAAGGGAAGGCGAGAATGGGGCAAGGCACAGAATTGCAGGAGGCACATAATATAAAGAAAAGAGATTGTGTTCACCAGGGACAGCATAAGGAAAGGACCTTTGCGGAGGTGTATACAATTTTCAGATAATATGCTGTAGATTTTTTGAGATAGGAAAATGGCTGAAATAGCAACTAAAATGGAGTACCACACAGACAGAATACCAAGGATGATAAAACCACCTTAGTTGAAAGGAAGCTGTGTATCAGGTTGGGAATTCAGCCTTACATACAGAAAGATGGAAAATTATTGTGCTTTTCAGACTGACACAAGCAGCCCCCCCCTTTTCTTTTTTTTTTTAACCATTTAAAAATGTTTCAATAGTAAAGGTCCACAGCTTGGCCTATTTATTTCTAAATGCCAAGATATACATAGTGAAATCTGGTTCCTTCTCTCTATGCATGTGGGGATTTGTAATAAAATCACAGAAACTTCATTTTTTGAGAATACAAGCACATAAATAATTTACTGTCTTTAAGTGGGGATATGACCTTTGCTACCTACTCCGCACTAATAGCTATGTGAATAAGTGTTTTGTGGAAAAGCAAGATAACTTAAGAGAACATACACATTGAGTGATTTCATAAAACTCTTAAGTAATTTATAGCATAGGAATGGAATATTAAGACTGATTTTTATGCAAAAAAAATTACTGCCTCTCGTTGCCCAAATATCAAATATATATATATAACAAATACCAAAATATCTGCAGCTGCGCGTTTATCGTTTGATCATACCAAGCTCTTTTTTTCTTCCACCTTTATATGATCATTTGGTTCCTGAGCAATTAAGAGCTTTGACATCAAAGGTGGGAAGTTCAAAATTTGAGATAACTGTTTAAAACAATCTTCAGTGTCTTTTCCATGCAGCAAAACAATGCTGGAGAGGTAAGAAGGATTAGAACAGAGTATTTCCTTGGGTTTAGAACAGTGTCATGGGATATTACAAGACAGGAAATGACAATGGGAACCTGGAAAACTAAAATCCTACGTTAGGGTGTGAGTTTCACAGGGAGATAAACTGAACAGTGCCCTTTTGCTGTCCATTACTGTAGAATTTAAAGTAATCAAATGCTTCTGGGCACTGTTAGAACAAGATTACTGAATTAAAATAGTGATTTAATCTGTATTAGCAGTTCTTTTAATTTCTTCAAGCTTCTGCTCTTGTCCTGTTCCTTCCAGACATCTTTTCCATATCCATATGCAAGTTGTAAAGCCATTTGGTAATTTTCTATTTACTTAAGGGCTGGAGGAAGTTGTGTTCTACCTGGTTTCCTCTCCTCTCTCTGGTGTATTTCTACCTGAGAGGTCTGACTCATCTAATCCTTCTGCAAAGTATCTACAGCTTCTTACAAAGAGCAAGACTGCTTTGAAGGCTTAGAATTGAAGTTGCAAATAGTAGAAGCCAATGCTGCATGAGCTGTAGCTCCCAAATTTCATTGTGCTGGAGCATATAAATACTACAGAAAAGTAGGGATGAGAGGGACATCAGGAATTAATTCCATTCATCCTCTGTCCTTAGGCAAGGTTTGTTACACCCAAACCATTTGAACACAGGTTATTAATACCAACTTGTTCTTGCAACATGGGTGTTTGTTATTAACTTCAGATCTTCACGTAAAATTGTAAATATGAAGCTGTTTCACTATGCCTTAATTGCTGTTATTTTAAATTCCACAGCAGAATGAGGCAGCACATTTTATCAATAAATGTCGAGTTAGGAAGCATTTAAAGGAACTGATGTGAGCCAAATTTTACGAGGCAAATTTTATTAAAAAAAACTGCAGAGATGTAGTAAGTAAGGACATTGAGGAAGATCACTTGAGTTGCCTGTTAATTAGGTTTGCATATTGGCTGAAAATGTCAGGTGTCTTGGAGAAATGATGCACTTAACTGCATAAATTTTAACAAACATAGCTATTAGGAAAGAGGCAAGAGAAAGTAGTTTATTCCTTTCCTAGAAGTCTGTGGGACAGCTCAAACCTCACCATAGCCTGTTTCTGTAGTTTTAAAGATTTAGTCTTCTTAAAAACACACATATAGACCAAATCAATCTTGAGGGTGTAAAAGACAATAATCTTGCTCTAATGAATTACCAAGATGGGCTGAAGAACCATAGCACTGTAGAATTGGAGTGATGTTAGTACACCTGCTCAAACAATGGTTCAGCTGATTTTTTTTTTTTTTTTTGTATTTAAAAGCAGTTTGGGATCTAACTTGCCTAATTGCCCATGAGAAATGTCAGACAACAATATTACTGTATTCTAAGTAATTCTGTCTCTACAGGATAGTGTCCTAAATCTAGAGTTGATGTTGTCAAAGGAGGTATATTTTCTGATTAACTTGAACAATTTTAAATATAGTCACTACTCAGCTGCTAAAACATACTGTTTAAGATTCCCCTGCTAGAAAGTCGCATAGTATCAATTTTAATTTATCTTTCCCTTTCACATTTAGGCTGATGCACCTAACCCAGGGCTTATTCCAGATGCAGATGCAGTAGGTGTAACAGTTGTGCTAATTACATGCACTTACCGAGGTCAAGAATTTATTAGAGTCGGCTACTATGTAAACAATGAATATACTGAAACAGAACTGAGAGAGAATCCACCAGTAAAGCCAGACTTTTCTAAGGTAAGGCATGTTTTTTTCTAGTCATATATCAGAGGTATGCTTAGAGGTTTTTAAGAAACAAAAGCAAACATCAAGTGGTTTCATAAAGTGCATGGAATGAGGCATTAAATAATGGAAAATACTTGGGGAAACAAACTACAAGTATCATGTAGTTGTCATAAATTTGGATAAAACTGAGAAACTATCAACAGTTTCCACCATCTTGAAAACTTGGCTGCACTTGCAGACCAACTGTGTGAAATAAACTGTTGGATTTATTTCTTCCTTCACCAGCATTGACAAAGTGGCTCTGTTCTTCAAAAAAAGAGAATAATGCTTTTCTAGGCCCGTCAGCCAGGAACTAAGTAGTAGATATTAATTTACCAGAGTTGTTATCCAGCTGTTCTAGTGTCAGAGCTGCAGTTTCTGCAAAACTGAAACAAACAAAAAAACCTGAAGAACAAGTTAGGTGTAAAATGAGAGAAGATGGGTAACCTGGTTGGATGATTATCCAATGAATAGACAACTTGACAAAGGAAGTATGCAGATTAAGTTTTAAAAAAAAGATATCCTTCATGGTAACAATTAGCCCAGGACTAGATTGAAAAAATGAAATGAAATAGTATGTTTTTCTATGCTTAACTTAATTTTCATGGATCAGATACTCAATATGTTCTCAAAATTACATTTAATTTTGAGGATTCTTAAACTTTTGATATGTTCCTTTCTTTTTTCTTTCTTTCATTTAAGTCATAACATGTTGGTTGTAAATGCCATAGGTGGCTTCCTTTAAGCACTTGAATTTAAAAATGCCTAGAACTACTTGTCTTCATTCTCTGCTTATATAAAAAGCTAGATTTGCTCCTATGAAAAAGAACAGCAAAAGCTATCATGTTTGTATAAGAAGTCCCCCTCAGGACAGAATAGAAGCACACAAGTAGAAGGTTAATAAATCAATTGGTGGTAATAAACACTACTAGGTTTTAAAAAAGTGGCGATCTTGTTAGTTTGCATGAGGGATTGGGAAATACTTAATGAGAGCATACTTTCTTGGAGAGTAAAATCAGCAAAGCAGACTTTTCCTGTGATCAGTCTTAACTTTCATAATGAGTGTTCAGTGGTGATAACTTGCCATCCTCTAAACTATGATTTTTTACCCCTCTCAAGATAAAGAGAAAATGAATATTTTTTTTTTTTGCTGCATAAATAAACAAACGCAATGTGTTTTCAAAAGAAAATGAAGTCCAGCATGAGAATAAAATATATAACTAATCATGTCCACTGCCACAATGTTAGTATCTTCCAAATCTAAGTAATGTTTTTACTTTTACTTGAAAACTTTAGTAGATAAATCTACTTAGTGAAATCAGTCTAATGTTTGGTAACTTAAAGATAGGTTGTACTCTTAAATGAAGATGGGGAGTTGATGGAATTGATAGTTATTGCAAATACTGGAAAATTGATGCAAAATTTTATGAGTACAGTAGTTTGCAGAACCTTTGAGGGGTAAAAGTAATTTCCTTTACTAAAAGCTGGATAAAATAATAAACACTTGCGCTTTACTTGTGGAGCTCTTGCACAGCCTCGAACACATGGAGTAGTTAAAATATCCTCTAAAGAAAGCAGTTCTTTTGCTGAGTAGGATATTAGAGTAAATGAATAAGTAATGTGTACTGTAAGTGCATTTCTGATCCACAGGTAGTAGCTATATATTCACATTTATATAGATTCCCTTTTTAAACAAATTGTTTTACACAAG